TTTAGGTCAAAGGTATTCAATGTATTTTCAATTTCTGATGGAATGGGCTTACTGAGATATAAACTCATAAGCTGACAGACCTGGAAGGTGACCCAGAATCTGGACCCCAGAAACTGAGCTCTTAACCATTATAAGAAAACTTCCACCAGGAAATTGTGAAATAGATGCTGAGCAGGAAAAAATAAAACACGTCCAACTAGTCACTTTGAATTCTTGTTCCGCAGAGAGAATTATTCAGCCAGCCCAGCCAGCGTTGGGCACTCTGGTGGGGGTGGGAGGAGGGAGTCCTCACTGCTTCCACTGTGACCTCAAGCATAGATCACCTACCCCAAACAAGAAGGACAAAAGAGTAAGTGCCCCTTTGTCATCATGAAACCAGTGAAGGCAATTTGAGTCACATAGCTAAATGTAAAAAGCTGTAAGGGGTGAAGGAAGTTTCCCTTTACCCCCCAAAGGTTCAACAATTGAAGCTATGAAATAATGGACAGGAAAAAGGTTACCAGGAGAAAAAGAACACAGGATTGCTACAAACATGCTGGCATCAGATGAAGGAAAAGGGAATAGTGAATCCAGTGAGATCTGGATTCCTAAAATCCCTAAAATCCAGTGAGATCTGGGCACGTATATGGCCTCCTGAGCTACAGGAAGCAATATGGGCCTAGGGTGTGCCAGGGGAAGGTAGTAAGGACCTGCTATGGGGGGCACAGGGAGGAAAATGTGTGATGTATAAATGCTGACTTATGTGCATCACATCTGGTAAAGAAAGTTCTCCCATCCAAATTCACCACTATAGCACAATACAAAAATCAATAGCATTCCTATACACCAAAAGCAAACTCGCTGAGAAAGAAATTAGGAAAACACTATCATTTACAACAGCATCAAAAACGTAACTGCCTAAGTATTAACCTCATCAAGGAAGTGAAAGATCTCTATGAGAAAAATTACATCACTCTAGAAAATTGAAGAGGGTATCAGAAAATAGAAAGATATCCCTTATATCTGGATAGGCAAAACCAACATGATCAAAATGGCTATATTTTCTTAAGGTTGGTAGCTTTATTCCCCTACATCATTAGGGACATATTATTTAAAATAATAAGAATTGGGGTATATAATTTAAAATAATTTTTAAAGTAACACTTAGTTGTAAATACACACATATTTGTTATTTTCTCACCATACTAATACACTAAAATGTATGTCTATCTTTTTTTTTGTAGGACAGTTCCAAGTAATTAACACATTGCATACATTCTTCCTAGTGGTTAATTGCTGTACAAGATGCAGACCTGATATCCTATTTACAAACACCATTAGAACAAATCCCTCTATTCATTAAGAGAATGTAACTATATATCTATTCT